TTGAGCCAACGACCCCAGAGGATAAGAAGAGGCATATAATTCACTCACTTTGTAAGCCTCTTTCAGAAGCCCTCTTAGGTTCTCAAGAATGCTTGACTTCAGGGGCTGCCCTTTGCATGAAGGCTTTAGTGGACTCAGATAATTGGCGATTTGCTTCGGATGAGATGGTGAATAGGGTTTGTCAGAATGTGGCTGTTGCTTTGGAGGAGAAGTGCACACAAACTAATTCGCACATGGCCTTGGTAATGACTTTGGCAAAGCATAATGCTTTGATAGTTGAAGCATATGCGAGACTCTTGATACAATCTGGATTGCGTATCTTGAGAGCTGGGGTCTTAGAGGGCAATTCTCAGAAACGATTATCAGCTATCCAAATGGTCAATTTCTTGATGAAGTGTCTGGATCCTAGGAGCCTATTCTCACAGCTTGACTTGGTAATTGAGGAGATGGATAAGTGCCAGTCTGATCAGATGGCATATGTGAGTGGAGCTGCGTTTGAAGCATTGCAAACTGCAAAGAAAATAGCTACAGAGAAAGGGTCAAAATTAGAGAAGAGTTCTGGTTCAATTACTGGGTCAAACTTTAGCGGGAGAGACCACAGAGGGAGGAGAAATTTGTCTAGTGCCTATGGTGATCAATCTCCAGCATCTATATCACCTGAATCACAGACTCTTGATTCCTTTATGGAATACGAATCTTTCATTGAGTCACCTATCTCAACAACTAATGTTTCTTCAACTGAGTATGACCGCGGTAGCGTGAACCGAAAACTATGGAGTTTTGAGAATGGAGGGGTAGACATCTCTCTAAAAGATGGTTTATTTTCAGAGTTGTCTCGAGGAAGTCGCATTTATGATGCATTCTCTGATCAGTCTGGGCTGCATGAACTTACTGAAAAAGGAGGAAGTTACACGGGCGAATTTGCAGGGTTCTTGCCTAGAAGTCCTAGAAACGGCCTATCGAGAAGCACCACTCCCAGTCCTCAGGTATTGTGCTGACACATGTTTCATTAGTCCCGTAGACAATTAGTCAGAAAAAGACCGAATGCTGTATCAGCAAGCTCTGTGGGTGAATTTGGACACGTTTTCTTAATGTGAAGCTTAGGAGGTTTATTTTTATCTCTAACCTCGTATTTAGGCATTGAATAGTGATAATGGAATTTTACTTCAGGGTGCAGAAATAAGCTGGCTGTAGTGGTAACTTTCCATTTAAAACATATTTGAGAAGGATGTTCAACTGCCAACAATGTTTTCTAAATACAAATCAGACAGCTTGAGAACCAGTTTGAAGGATTTTCCCACCTTTTCCATTTGGAACTAGCTTTTATTACTGGTTTCGTTGTTGTGAAATGGATATATTTCCGCTCTTGCTGTCAAGTGCACTTTAAGTCATAGCTGATGAAGGTTGCCTTATGTTAATACTACGATCACACTTAAGGCCCAAGGGAGGCTAGAATTATTTCTGGGATTCTTGTACTGCCGTTAAACAAATTTCTTATTTACATCTGTTCATAGGCTTGTTCTCCTTTTTTTGATGCCAGTCAAAGCATGAGATGGATCAATATTTGCCAATTGAAACAAGTTTACTTAATGTTTGTGATATTGGATTTTGATTGCTAATATAGATTGCATTTGACACTTTTTTGTTTGTTTCAGCGATCACGCTCCCGTATAACTGTTGACAACATGAGCATCTTCACAACTCCCAGGAAGCTCGTACGTGCTCTTCAGGATCCTAATGATTTGGATTCAGACTTCTCTGAGAAACAAAATGGAAGGTTTGGAAGTCCATGCTCGTGCAAATTTGATCACAACCCTAATCTGAGATCAAAACTAAATGGCTTTCAGCACGATGTGGGCTCTGAGGTCAATGACAACGAAAACTCATATACTGGGGGTGAGCAGTTCCAAGGTGCCTCTGAATCAGTGGCTTCAACAGACGATGTTCCAGTCAACTCTAATGTGCATGTGCCTCCAGAGGTGATTACTGGAAATAAAATTGATGCTAAAAAATTTTGCATTGAAAAGGATGTGAGGGAGACTTCATCTACGTTAGTTGTTGGGTTCTGCATTGCTTTGCTAGCAATTTTTGCTTCGTTAATGTGCATTTATCTGCAGGATGATGGCCATCATATGGTTCCAACTTAGTTGTGTCATTTGTATCCATTTCTTCCAGTTATACTGTACTAGGTCATTGTGAAAACCATATGTTTTTCTATCAATGTTAGGTAGTCAATTGTTCCAACTGTGAGTTGGATGATTATGTGCTTAATACCAGGAAACAATGTGTTATTGTAACCTCTTTTTTCTTTAATTACTAAACATGTTAACTACATGAACAGAATATCGTTTCCTAAAATCACCTGCAAAATCAGTTTGGCTTATTTTTTCATAAGAGTAAGGGGAGAACTAGAGAAGCACTGACAAGAATTGTCCCAACTCCCATGGGCAGTGTGTGTGATGCAAGCTGCCGTGCCTTCTCTTCACGAACATTAATGATGTGCAGCATGTAGTTCGTTTCTTTTCAAATTTTATGATTATAATTTCTGCATATGGGTTAGGCTTCCTCCAAAATCTCTCAAATTTTCCTGAGGTTTTATGGAAGGATGGTAGGGAAATAGATCTAGTAGTTGGTACAATGCCAGGCCATTTATATCTCATTCAAAATTAAAATTCATGTAGCTTTCTCCCTGTAAATATGATAGATGCCAAATGGTTTCCCTTTATGAACAACGTATGTTGCATTTTATATCACTCTGGGATTCATCTTGTAAAATTCAGATGAAAGCTTAAACATGCTTCAGTGGTACTCAGAGATTTGGATTATATAAATGCTTACTCCCTGTCCAATGTCCATGCATCTCCAGGATTCAAAGTTACTGGTCTAAGCATGGTTATTGGCCTGCACATATAAAAGAATACATGCCATAGCTTTCATGGATTGAGCCAAGACTAAATATGTATAGTTCCTTGATCCCCTCCCTTCCAACAGTTGAGTTTGTTCTGCCCTGTTATAGCAACATACGTGGGGTAAAAAAAGTATTTGTCAGAAACTCAGCATCTGCAATCATGGAAACCAATAATATATTATAACACTAGAATCATTGAAAAAGAATTTCGGGTGAGTTGCAATCAAAAAGTTCATATTGATAGGGCTACGTTAACGGGCCTTCCAGCAACCTCGAGGAATGATATCTCAGTATCAACAGTCAGCTTTCTTACAAACCAACTGAAGCAGTTGCTTCCAAATTAGGTTAATAATATATCAAGTGGTTGTCTAAGCGTATAGGAAATTATTTTTTAAGGCATTCGAAGCTCCTAGGAAATCTTAGATATTGGAGAAGTCAAAATAACATTAACGACGTTGTAAGATGTGCCGAGAATTGGACAAACTACTGAGCTTGAATTATTGAAAACGAGAGTCGATAAGAAAAGTGTCATATTAATGATTGTGAAGTCCCGTGGTGCGCTGGTGTAAATCAAGCTCATCTTCTCAGTTAGATTCTTATAGTTCTTGATTGTCATCAGCTTCAAAACACAAAAATGGCATAGATAATACATTAAAAAAAAAAAAAAAAAAGGGGATTTCAAAGACATCAAGCATCTAACCTTTAGATTTCAAACAAGTGGCTCAAATTTTTCTGAAACAATCTTATTAATAAAAATAAAATATGAAGTACCTATAAAAGACTTTTCATTCATATAACAAACATCAATATGAACTAAATCAAAGACATGAGATCTTCTATAAAGGTGATCTATAAAATATCATTGTGTGTTGTTTACCAACTAAATAATGAGTGCAAGTATTCAAATTCATACATTAAAAGAAGGAAGTTTTTATTGATAAAGATACCAGGACTTTTCTAACTCGAGTGACCAAGTCTGCCTATGCTAAAAATTAGTAGAGGCATATTCAATTGCATTTACCTCTCTTTTAATCACTTTGGTTTATAAAATATAGAAATCTATCATTTTATCTTTAACAACAATAAAAAAACCTTTAGAGAGAGTCATTTACCATAAAAATAATTTTAATAGCCTTCTTCATTAACGGTACCTATAGAGATAAAGTATAAGCACATACTGAGTACATACCTAACATTTATAAGCAGTAACTTGCATTTAATATTGATTTATAAGTACAACACTAGCTATCTCTTGATTTTCCATCCTAACTTTACCCTAGTCTCTACTAGTGTAATTAAAATTAGAATTAGCCAACCAATAATAATTTACGTAAAAATAAATAAAAACGCAATCACAATAAATACAAGAATTTTTATGTAGAAAACTTTGAGATGGAGAAAAACTATAAAATCATAATTCACTCAAACTCTTCTACGATATCAAATAATGAGATACAAGAGATACAAGGTTTTCTCTTAATTCGATTAGAAGATATATATCAAAATGTCAAAATCATCATTTCAATTATGAATTCCAACAATAACAAATAAAAGAACTAATTCTCACTAAATACATTTTTAGAAATACCAAAAGATAAAAACTTCTTAATGATCAATATCATTAAGTTGAAGAGCTCATTATTTAGAGCAACATATTAAAATTTTATTTTAACTGAATTTCAAATCGTCCCATCAAAACAATAAAGATGAAAACTCTCTTCTTTTTCTGTGTCAAACTTTTTTTTTTTTTTTTATGTCTCAAATAAGCCAAAGTTAGCTTTTATATTAAGTCACTCGACTTTTTAGTTTAGGAAAATTATTTTTCTTTTTTTGTTTTTTCTTCTCTCTTTAGTTTTATTATTATTTTAGATGGATTTTGAGCTAGAAGGAACCAACCTACTTCATCTTTATAACAGCAGATGGTTTGATTGCTAATGATTCGGCCGGGTATGAACCAGCAAGATGAAAGCCCAGACTTCATAAGTCCTTCCCTCAGGTTGAATGAGATGAGACTTGTTTCTGCCATACATATCTCCATTATTGAGCATGTGGGCAATGGCATAATAAGCCATGTAGATAGTGGAGTCAGGAGTCAGATAATGATTCGACCAAGAGAAGCTCTATCGACCGGGAGTCCCAAGCTCGAAAGATCGCGAACAAGCCCATCGCCGAAGACGAATACGAGTAAGTGAGTAACAGCATGCTCAAAACCATGTTTTTAATGTCATCAGAATAGAGATTCATATTTCATAAGCTCTCCTTAACCAGTTTTTTCCATTCCGCTTCATCATGTATAATGTACCATGCATTGTTCAGTAAGATACACAACGCATTCATCACCAGACCTTGAAATGACCTGCCTCTGAGGTTCACTGAATATGATTGCCTCACCTGTCTCAACCAGCTTGGTCCCTATCAATGGCTTTGCTTCCTGGACTTTCTTCCCTGCAAATTCTCCAACACGCATGGTTCCCTCTTTGAATCCTCTCAAGTATATCAATTTTTGGCTTTAGCAAGCTCCGCCTTCTCATTTTAGCTCTTAAAGTCTTAATCATCCAATCGATGAAAACTTTCTCAGCAGCCTTGTCTTAGAATTCTGGAATATCAAGTATAGGAACAATGTCGAAGGGCATTGCCGATTCGTCCTTCACACCAAACTTTTCCCTGAGATCTCGTTTTGGTTTCAAATCATGCATTGCCATATAGTCACCAAGGGAATCACTAGGCACACTAGTTACGATCCCAGTACCTTTTTCTGTCTGAATAATCAGCTTGGGCAGCACATAAATGAGATGATGTGCTGACAGTGGAGAATTCAGGGGAAGGCCAATCAAATCAGAACCAACGAGTTCAACCAGCCAACTAGATTTGTTAGGGGATCTTTGAGAAGTTCTGATAGGAAAGATTAAGGGCTGCTCTCTTTGTCAGAACTAAGACATCAGTCTCTTTGATTTCAAAAGCTCCATACTTGCCAGGCAATACCTATGCGTTTGTTTGAACATACATAGTCCTAGGGTCTCAAAGTAGCAGCAGCTAGGAACCCTTTTCTTCCGCTCCAATGGTCCCAATTTAGGTGGGAAGGGAGCCAACACATCCATCTTGATAAGATGTAATCTTGGTGATCAACTCCTTCAGCACTTGCCCTATCATGATCTGCACATGGTTGGTCATCTAAGAGAGAATGTTGTGTATTGAAGATCTGCACTTTGCTGCCCAAATATTTTCTAATAGTTAATTGTTGTAATTGTAAATGAGAAAAGAAAATACAAAGCTTTGAAATATTGCTGCAGTGTAAATATATATTTTGAGATAGAAACTGAAACTGCATTCATTTAACATCAGAAACATTACAATTTATAGCTTGAAAAATAACTACTCACTAAACATGGTCCTAAGATTTAGGCCATGATCACAGAACATGAATAACAAACAAGAACAACATGAATAACCAACACCAGAAAAATAGGAACAACTTTGAAACATTCAATTAATGACTCCACATCAGCAGTCCTAAACATATCATCTAACATTAATAGTTATTTTTTTATTTTTTTATAAACTCATTAATTAAAATCAAATGATCTTTTAATAATATTGATTCAGTACTTTTTTCTAATTTGATTTTTAAATAATTAATTTGATTTTTTTATTGATCAAAATCAAACTTGTTCATAGGATATGTTTAAATTCAAACATGGAATATAAATATTTTATTAAATACTGCATGATAGATATTAAATTAAACAAATTTTCACAATTAATATTGATTAATTTTTATTTTATTCCTAGATTTTTAAAATTATTTGATATATTAAAAACATATTATATAGACTTATCTGGCTTATTTTTCAAAGAAGAGGAAGGGAAGAACTATAGAAGCACAGACAAGCATTGTCCTATGGACAGTGAAGTAATGTGTGATGCAAGCTGCTGTCCCTTCTCTTCACAAACACGAATATATATTCCGTTTCTTTTCAAATCTTACGATAAAAATTTCGGTATGTGGAGGAGAAATAGTTGCAATAGTTGGTATAATGCCCGGTGGATTAACATCTCATTTAAAATTTAAATTTGAGGAGCTATCTCACTGTAGATATGATCATGTGACAGATGCTAAACGATTTCTCTTCATGAACAAATTATGTCGCATTTTCTGGCACTCTGGAATCCATCATTCCATCTTGCGCATGAAACTCAGGTGAGAGCATAAACATACTTCAGTTGTACTAGAGATTTGGATTGTGTAAATGCTGACTGCCTGTCCATGCCTCTCCAGGATTCAAAATTACTGGTTTAAGCATGACTGCTTGGCCTACACATATAAAAGAATACATGCCATACATCTCATGGCTTGAACCGGGACTAAATATGTATAGTTCCTCGAATCCCTCCCTTCCTACAGCAACTGAGTTTCTTCGGCCCTGTGGAAAAGCAAAGCATTTGTCAGAGACTCAGCTTCTGTATAATAAAGTATAACACTAGAATCACTGAACTACTTGGAGTGAGTAGGAATCTAGAAGTTTATATAGATGGGGCTAGGTTGGCAGGTCTTCATGTAACCTTGAGAAATGACATCTCAGCAACAACAGTCACCTTTCTTGCAAACTAATCGTAGTAGTTACTTTCAAATTAGGAGAAAAGGAGATTAGGAAATTATTGAAAAGACATTCAAAGCTCCTTGGAAGTTGTAGATATCAATGATGTCAAGACAAAATTAACCAAGTTGTCAGATGTGCTGAGGATTTGACAAACTACTGAGCTTGAACTAGCTTGAATTAGCTTGAATTATCGAAAACGAGAATCGATAAGGAAAGTACCCTGTCAATGATTGTGAAGTCCCGTGGTGCGCTGGTGTAAATCCTGCTCATTTGCTCAGTTAAATTCTTATAATTATCGTTTTCTTCACCCTCCATTTCCTCAATTTCTTGCAGACTGTCTCTTCCATCATCACCATTCTTCTGATTTCTCCCATCCCGGCCAGTAAAAAATCCTTTGAAACCCATATTTCCCCACAGTTGGCCAGAACCAAATCCACTTTCTCTGAGGTCTGGAGGAACAATGCCGAAGGTTGATAAGAACATAGGCCTGGTAAAGAAGTCTGATCCCTCTAATCCATATGCATAGGTTGCTTCTGGTGTGCTTACTGTAAGATGGCTAATAATACAACCCCTCATTTGGATCGATGAAGATTTTGAGTTGGAGACAATAAGCTCTGAGCTTAAGGTTTCTTGACTGAGACTCAAAATGTATCTGATTTCAACCATATCTTTTGCATCAGTGCTCACTATTTCAACCTGCATAAATGGAGACAAAAAGAACTTCAAGAATTTACAGGCAAAATTAACAGGACAGTTTAAGAGAACTTTGCCAGAAATTGAGAAAATTAAACAGTTTTGTGTACATGTCAACCTATTCTTGCTTACAGCTTTTAGCATCACTGCAATTTGATCCTTTACAACCAGTTTCATTTTAGTTACAAGTAAGAAACTGAATACTTGAGAACATATCATAGTCTAGCTAATCATTTGCAAGGCCATTAAAGGTGTTAGTTCCCTGCCATCACTTAATGTGATACTGCTAGAATAAAGACAGACCTGAATAGAGTCACGAGAATCTCCTCTGATATCCTTAAGAGCCCAAGTACTAGGAGACCATGAAATTTCACCATCACTGTCAAAGGCAAAGGCTGGAGACACCCCTCCTCGTATGGCAGCACTTCCATCCTCCCCCTGCAAGACTGATGTTTGCAACAGCTCAACTGTACCTCCATGCCACATGCGAGCCTTGTATGATGTGATTAAGCCGCTTGGTAGCATCAATGTGGCAGTGCTCCCATTTTCCAGTCTCATCTTGGCAACGCAGCTATCACTAAGACGTTCGAAAGTGACTCCATGGCCACTGAATTCTTCTTCCAAGTAGTCTACATTGATTGGTTGGTATGGAATTGAAGCCACCGATGGAAGTGGAAATTCTCTCTTCTTGTTAGTGTATTGAAGAGACCTAGAGTGAAGATAAGGGTGGAAACTGAACGAATGCTTTGTGGAGAGACTTGTGGAGGGGATAGTAGTGAAGCTCGGTGAAAAGAGAGAACTCAAAGCCATACTTATGATCCTTTGCAGTTATGAATAATATCTGGCATCATTATGCAGAAGATGAAAAAAGCTGCTATTCTGTAGCAGATAATGGAGAGAAAAAGAGTTAGGCCCACTTATCAATGTATGGCTGGCTGTTGGGATAATTTTGCTACATTTTTTTGGTTGGTTCTATTGAAAACTACATAGATATTTTGAACTATCTTTCCCTTTTCCTTGAAACTTTTTCACAGGTTCACTGCTATCTAAATGCCAAATTGTTGGTCAGGTATTCAACCTTATCCTTTCAGATGAAGAAAAGAAATTGCTCCATTTTTTCATGAATTTCTATTTCCTTTTCTCACTATTTTGGTCATATATTTCAAACGAAGAAATCACCTTTCATGCTAATCTTGTGTAAAATCCAATCTATCAATTTCTGAAATCCTAACTCAACATATTTTACAAAACAGATGCTATTAAATATTTTTCTATGCTGTATTTGAGACCTTATTTCTTTCGAGCCAACATAAACCCTCTAATAAACTTTTACAGGCACGCATTTGAACATCTAGTTATTTCTTTGAGCATAAACCATAAAGATCCTTCAAGTAGTGATGGACTATGATAACATTCATAACATTCATTAAATAGTAGAACTCTATAATTACAATATGATTTTGATAAGAACAAACTAACCAGCTACCCAGAGGAACTGAAAAAGGAAAAAAAAACTGAACAAAAAAATGTAAAATTGATTTTGAATTTGTAATTACAAATTATCATGCTCAATCATCTGTGCCCCCTTCCAGTCTTCGCCTGGCTTCACAACGACAGGGACCAGCATTGCAGCAGGGCCAGTGCAGATAAAATAGTCCTCACCATACTTCTCTGCAAATGAACCTGGGGTGCCAATGTATATATCTTCGAAACCGACCCTTATTACCCTAAAGAACAGCTCTTTTCCCTGAAAGGGACCACCAATGTTTTTGTGACTCATTAGTTTTCTCAGTTGCAGATGATCTTATGACATAAATAGACAACTAACACACAGAGTTTAATTGAAATTTTCAATTATTGAAAAAAAAAAAAATTCTGTTCATGAGTATTTGGATAAGAAAAGCCTATCTATCTATGTGCTCAAGTCAATGCTTATAAATTACCATTTTCAAAACAAGAAAAACTTCATTCACGATTCTCCTGTCATATCAGTTGTATATGTGAAATTTTACGAACTAAGTTGACAAACTCTCTTTTCATGTTCTGATTTTTAAAACATTTTGAGAAATGGATGATTCTGAAAATAATGACCATAGTGACAATCTCAAAACTTTCTCAACATTGATTTTATGCACTATATCGATATGTTAGAGCCTATTGATCTTGGGCTGGAAGCAGAATTTACAAGCACATACCTGATCGAGGGCTTCATATTTTGTAGGTGAGGTGTTATAGAATGCTTTTAACCTCTCTTGTGGGGGGGCAGCATAAACTCTACTAAATCTATTCTTCAAAATTGTGTAAGGTTCATCTTGCACTTTCCATAATCCTGGTTTCTCTTCAGGCTCGAAATCAAAATCGAAAAATCCCGGAGACTCAGGTTTCATTACTTCAGATGGAGATAAAACTTCAAAAGGTGAAGATAAAGGAGGCTGTGTGCAGTATGAACATTTCCTGAGTCCTTGGATCCCTGCCTTTGCTCGCCTTTTGAATTTGAGATGACTAAGTATAGCACTAGTTAGAGTCACATCCTTGCGACCATTGTTCTTGACTATCACTGCTGTAGCCATGCTCAGTGGATAAAGTGAGACTACATATGATATGTCAAGAGGTCCACTGCTACAGCTCAATTCAACCTGCAACAAGCCGGAAAAACAAGCATGACAATTTCAGCCCTCAAGTAGACATCGATCCTAGTTCTTGCAAAGAAAAGCAGACTGCGGTTTTAATTTTACAACCCCCAACCCCATCTCTCCCCTCTTCCTCCTGCCACTGAACTAAGGATGGTTTGATCAATAGTTAAAGAAGTTCAGTTACTTCAAAAATAAAAGGATTCAGTCTCATGTTTCCAGGACAATTTTTGGACACAAAATTTGCATGGAAGAAGCGCCTTTAATTGTACACCAGTCTACATTATCTCAAAACTATCCTTTTTTTATTTCATCTTTGGAATTGATTATTCGACTATTTTCCCTTTCCAAAATGGAAAATCAATAAGAAATAATTAATTGATTAAATTTACCCTTGATCCTGTCCTTAACCTGTTATTAAATAGTCAAAAATTCAAACAAGAAAAACCTTAAAATAGCGTCTCTCAAAAAGAACCCAACCGGTTTCAGGCTTGAACTAGTTTCAAGAACAAGGATAGATATGAACTGAACAAAATGATGCAAACAAGCAAATACCTGAAGAGCATCAATGGAATCATAGTCAACATCCTTTACACTCCATTCAGAAGAAGAGATGAGTGATCCTTTGGAACCACCTTCAGAGGCATCATTGATGACCAAACCAATGCCGCCTTTAGCTTTACTAGAATCCTTTTCATTACCAGGAAGTGTATAAAGAACCTCTTCGAAACCATCATCCTTCCAATAAACTTTTGGCTTGTAAGAAGTGACATGAACATTAGGTATCTGGACCCTCACAGAGCTGCCATTTCTAACCGTTAGCTCAACAGTAGGAACATTGTTGGATTCCAAGAATTTGATTCCTTTTCTACCAAACTTTTCTTCAAGAATCTCTGGAGTTGAAGGGTTGGCAGTCGTTGGAGATAATGAAGTAGCTTTTATAATGCTTGGTTTTGGAAGAGAGAAGGAAAGAAGAGAAGCCATGGAAAAGAAAGGAGAAAGAAGCAGCACACTTTTAACAGCTTCCACACATACCAGTAACTAGTTTGCTAGGCTCATCCTTACTTCACGAATTGTTTTTGTTGGGATTTGTATTTTGGCTTTTATACTTGCACTTTTTGTCAAGCATAGTCTATCAAGTTTTAAACAAGTCTACACCCTTAATTTTGTACCACTCTGAGACGTGATAACGCAGGCCAACCCTTGTAATATCAGACGCAAGACATTTTGCCTTTCGGACCAAGTACGATATTTTGGTTAAACCCAAGTACACTAGGAGCGGCAGCCCTCCCCATCCATCAAGCTAATTTACAGCAAATATTTGGCAGATTCACCTTCCAAAATCCTGTAGATTGGATTTGGAAGCCAGATCATGAGCTAACTGTCAAGTTTTAAACAACTCTACACCCTTAATTTTGTACCACTCTGAGACGTGATAACGCAGGCCAACCCTTGTAATATCAGACGCAAGACATTTTGCCTTTCGGACCAAGTACGATATTTTGGTTAAACCCAAGTACACTAGGAGCGGCAGCCCTCCCCATCCATCAAGCTAATTTACAGCAAATATTTGGCAGATTCACCTTCCAAAATCCTGTAGATTGAATTTGGAGGCCAGATCATGAGCTAACTGTCAAGTTTTAAACAACTCTACACCCTTAATTTTGTACCACTCTGAGACGTGATAACGCAGGCCAACCCTTGTAATATCAGACGCAAGACATTTTGCCTTTCGGACCAAGTACGATATTTTGGTTAAACCCAAGTACACTAGGAGCGGCAGCCCTCCCCATCCATCAAGCTAATTTACAGCAAATATTTGGCAGATTCACCTTCCAAAATCCTGTAGATTGGATTTGGAGGCCAGATCATGAGCTAACTGTCCAGTTTCCACACCACTATCGAGTGGAAAAGAGTGGAAACCGGACCAAGCAATCACCTAAATAGATTCATGGGTCAAGAACCATTTGAAGTACGCTCTGATTTGGAAAGTGAAGCTTTGAATGAAGCAAGCAGTCATCATCCTTGGGCACTCTGCAGTTTCATTCATGGAAACACCCTGGTCAATCCCCAATTCTTGTCTAGACAGACACGGGGAGAACATATAGCAATAAGGCAATGCCGGAGTTTTAAAGCACATCTACCATTGTAAATTGTGATTCTAATCTTCTTTGTGAATCCCACTTGAAACCCATAAATACCCAAATCATAGTAGCAGATGGGTGCACGAGAAAGGATGCCCAATCTTCCCCAGACAAACACACCTTTGAGAAGGGAACTAATAGCACATCTCTAATCCATTACCTTGAGCCTATTATCATATTCATTCGCACACAACTCAGAAGTGGGAAACTAGAAATCAAATCCATTCACTGCAAGGCGGCTCAAAACACAATAAATCAAACACAATTTTTCAGTAGAAACTACAGAACTATTACAACTTCCAGACCATCATTGAAACAAACAATCACATCAGTTGGATTAGAAGTGGCATATACATAACTTTTCTTTAACTCTAAACAAAATTGTTTTAAGCATGAAATTTTGGCATCTGAGAGAAAAGAAAGGATGCCAAACTAAGTAAGAGATTCTGCCAAAAAAAATACAATCAAGACAAGACAAAAGTGAAATTGCCATTGCCATGTGCAAAACTAATCTTCATCCATCCCTCCAGGACCTGGTGCAGCGTCTCTCCTTGGACCACCAGCTGGTTTTGCCATTATAATCTGCATGGGAGAATAGGAAAATTAAAACAAAACTCGTCACAATTCAAATTCAAGTCCAGTTCCATATATATGGCTATAAATCAATCCCATTATTATTTCATACAAGAATAATCGACCAAAACTTTCAGCTGAAAATAGAATCTGAATATATTTAGGTTTTATAAATTGTTCCCCAAAAAAGATAGATTAGAAATTCGTAAGTGCAAGCAAACCAAGCTGCTGAAGAACCAAAAGGTATATAGCAGAAAATAACTGCAAATCACAGGGAGACTGATGCACGAATTAATACCTGGTCCACTCGCAATACAGTGCAGGCAGCATCTGCAGCGTATTTGAGAGCATATAACCTGTACAGCAGGGGAAAAACAAGATGAAAAGATTGAGCTTGTATTTTATACAGACAAAAAGTTTTAGCTTGATAGAAGATAGTTTTATATAGACAAAAAGTTTTAGCTTGATAGAAGATCGTTCCTTATCTATATCAGTTAAGAATCGATTACTAGAATCCACAATATCTGATCTGATCGTTCCTTATCTAAAACCAAAAAAAAACCTAAATGGAAAGAAGCCCTAAGATTGAGAATGGATAAAATGAAAAACTAGTAACCAATATCATGTGGCAGAATAAGATCCTTCTATCCTTATTTTTGCTGATAAGAGACTCCTCTAGCCTGCTGATATATAAAACAAGCAAAAGTTTTGGTTTCACAGATCCAAATCCAATGTATGTCTTCTACCTACCAAACTTCAAATCAAAGTTTCTATTGAACTGGACATGGTAGAAAATGATGGCTAACAATCACAGCAGACTAAACCACAATGTTACATACATAAAAACACACAGAAAGAAACAGACCGCAGCAGTCAAAGAAAAAAAAAAGGTCATGGATAAAATTCCGTCAGGCGCTAAATTGCAAAAAGTGTAAAGAAACAGCTTGGCATGCCAATATTTCACAGAGAAGTGCAACTGCTACAAGATAGTGAAAAGAAACATACTTTGTGACGTAGAGATCCCAGATATTCAGGGTTGATACATCCTTACAAGCACCTTCTTCCAAGTCGATGCCGACTTTGGTATTTCCAGAAGCATGTTCAGCATAGAGGGAAGATATGATCTCCATTGCATTGAGCCCAGCATTCTCAGCCAGTGTTTTAGGTATCATCTCAAAACTTTCAGCAAACTTTGCAATAGCATATTGATCCAATCTGCAAGATCAACAGAAGTAGCATATCAACAGATACATAATGCCCTTGTGTCTGAACTCTGAAGTCATTTTGACGAGTCCAAAACTTGTCAAGGTTAAGCAACAGTCAACATTTATGAAAAATTACGAAGTAGTACAAGAGGAGATGAATAGAAAGAAACCACTTACCCTGTTTCTTTAAATGAGAATTCTTTGAGTCTTTTGGCTAACTCAATCTCAGTAGCTGCCCCTCCAGGTACTATTCGACTGTCCCTAGACATCGCCTGAAGAAAAAACAAAGATGTACAAAGAAATGTTTAGAATTGACTTCCCACAACCAAACTCTCCACTGGAATAAATGTTAAGCAACAATAACCTTGTAAGTATTGACTCCATCATCAACAGCTTTTTCAAGGTCATCCAGTATACTATCTGTGCTTCCTCGTAACACCACAGTGCATACAGAGTTGCCACCTTCTTCATTTCTCACAATAGTGACCTATTTCATATGATTCATACAGAGCACAAACATCATTTTGAGAGAAAAAGGGAAAAGAGGGCAGACAAAGGAAAAGAGAAAAATTTACAGCCAACATGATGGGATTAAGGTGTCTATGAACATACCCTAGAACCACCAATTTCCTCAACCGAAATAGAATCTACATATCCCAAGTCATCTGGATTGGGTGGACTAAGCTTCAACTGTTGCAAGAACACAAAAGAGTCATAGAGTGCAACCAAAAGAACTTTCAAGCAGTAAGAACAAATATTTCTAACAAGAAAAATGTTGTAACAGAAGTGAACGTACAATAGCAACAGCACCAGTGGTGCGGCAAAATCTTCTCAGTTCAAACTTTGAGCTAATCTTTAGAACCATAAGTCTACAAACAAGAATGTCATAATTAAGAATTGATAACTGAGGTTATGGATGCAATGAAAAAAACACTCCAGCAACCCATTAATAGCATTTACTATAAGCAAACAAGAATATGGCATAACATGACCTCAATTTGTCCAAATACTGTCCCACAACCCATATAAATGGATATATTCAAAGGAAGAAGAAAGAAAAACCAAAAGGCAAAAAAATGGTGTACTTGTAACGTTCACAGAAATGTAATGCCATTTCTCCAACAGCTGCTCCGCTAACAATTACTTTAGCACCAGAATCTGCCACTGCCTTGATGAGCTCCTCAACTTTAGCTTCTTCAGTTTTTGCATAATTCTCTAGCTGTGAGTCAAAAATTATGTAGTTGTTAATAGATCAAGTCCACCACCAACTTCATTAACTTTTATAGCACTAAATAAACAGCCTCATAAATATTAAGAGATATATTCCACAAAATCGTAAAACACATGTAGAGAACAACAAATGCTATCCCCTCCAGATATACCTGCTCAGCAGAGTGAATTAGGACAGTTCCCTTGGTTTCAGTTGCAGAGGTATCAACACCACCAACAAACACAGCAACCTATGAATGCACAAGAAAAAAATGATGTGAAATAGTTAAACTGCAAGATGCAAAAGTCCATTTAAACAGATTAAAAATAAAAGAAAACATCAACAAAAATTCAGGGCAGCTTCAGATTACATGTTACAAACTATTAAAAAAAAAAAAGACAGATAAATGCTCACCTTTGCATTCTCCACTCTCTTTATGGTTCCCACAGTATCACCTTTCAAAACCATACCACGGACTATTGAAGAATTGTTCAAACCTCCTCCCACAAGCTTTGCAACCCGGACATTGTCCACATTAAAGTTTACTGGATTCTTGGGACACACTTGGATGCATGCCTACAATGCAAGAAAAATAAGAGCAAAAAAAGAAAAAAATCACAACAAAACAGCTGATAGAACAACTAAGTGATAATAAAAGAGTTTCAGTAAATGCAATTACGTCAGCAATAAGGTTACATAGAATGTCTTCTTGTCCAAATTGCTTGCTAGCAACAGCAGCCTTTATCCGATAAATAACTTCCTCCTTATTCCTCACATCCATGTTTTCAGAACCTGGCTCCACCAGTTCGCTTAAGATTTCAATTGCCTAAAAATGCATTTGAAAACAGAAAAACAAATAACAACATATCAAGTGAGGAAGGTACATGAACACACTCTTCGACATAATTAAACATGTCATTTTTGCAAATTTATCGTAGCAACAAACAAACCTTGTTGATTGCTTTAATGTAACCACTGATAATCTCACTAGGGTGCAGGCCCATCCTAATAAGTTCGTCTGCATTTTGAAGTATCTCTCCAGCAAAAGAGATGGTTAAGTTAGCTCCATCCCCAATTTCCTCCTGTTGGGCTTTGCCAGCTAAGACCAAAATTTTGGCAGCTGGATGCTGAACCTCAAGTTCACTTACAATAGTGGCAGCATCATTGGTGACAAAGAGTTTGTCAAGATGATTAATAACCATCTTATTCATACCTGATTACAACCAAAAAAAAAAAAAAGCTTCAAAATAATAAATCCGTGGAAGGAAGGACAACTGTATTGAAGAAAATCCAGAAAAAAAAAAACCCAGAAAACAATACAAAAGAAGATCTCCATGCATGTGAGTAAAACCATTTAGATTTGGCCATTAAACCCCAAATGTATTGACCTAAATCCAAACCTTTCCTGCCTTCAATTTCAAATTCCAAGCGCCAAGATTGGTTTTTGTCACTTTATCAACTCATAGATTCACTTCTCATTAATTGCTATTGCAAAACAAAACACATAAAAACAGCCAAACCCTACTTCTCCAGTTGCACAGTATAAAAACTTGGAATGTGAGACGAACAAAAAAAAAACCTAAAAACACATAGCAGAAGAAAAAAAACCGGAAAAGATGTGGATCCAGAAATAGAAGGAAGTACCGTTGGGGCCGAGAGAAGTGCGAGTGATAACAGACAACTGTTTGCAAGCATCGATGTTTTTGAGAACGGCTTCATCGAGACCTGATAAATGCTTGTGTCCTTCTTTTAACATTGATTGTATTCCATATGGTTGCATTGAGAACCCCATCTTTCTCTCCTCTCTTCCCTTCTCTTCTTTCTTTCAGGGAGAAAAACTAAAAACCCTAACTCTAGAACCTTGAAATGAGAGTGTTTGTTTCGTTTCCTTTTTTTGTGTTCTCTGTTTGCAAGGGGAAGCAAGGAGTTGTGTTGTTCTAAACCAGAGAGTTAAGAGAAAGCCCTAGAAACCTTTATTTCAAAAGATTCTCAAAAATTATCTTACGTCGTCGTTTCCAGTTTCTGTAGGGTTGACGACGTGCCGTTCATCTTTCCATTTTCCCTACCCAAAAAACGCTGAATCTCATTATTTGCACCCATTATTTTCGCAAATTTGCAAGAAAAGCTCCTGCATTATTACTTCAGTCGATTAGGCTCCTGTATTTTTACAATTTGTAAAATCGAAAAATATACTATTCAATGAGAAGGTGGGATGAGTGATTATATTAACTAAAATAAATTAAAAATTGATGATAATAACTCAAGTGGCAAAGAAGATTACTTAATTGGTTGACATAAATTTTAATTTTGGCAAACTATAGTCAATTAGCTGAAATCAAAAATACAGAAATTCATTTGACTGAATTGCTAATATAAGAGCTATTTTGATAAATTGATAAAAACATGATATGCAAATAATGATTTTAGCAAAAGGAAAAAAAAAAAAAAACAAATAGATTTTGTTAATCTTCGCAGAACAAAAAATATATATATATATTAAACTAATAAAAAATTTAAAAATCTTTTTTTATGAGAAGAATCTAATTACACTTTCATAAATTATAGAAATTGTTTCACATAGATCATGGGTACTTAAATTTCAAGTCAATTAGATACAAAAGGTAAAATATTTAAATCGTAAAAATATTATTCATAACTGTAGGCGAAGTTTTAAATTTTAATAGCTATATAAATAAATTGTTTATAGTTATTCAATTGATTTGAAATTTAGCATTCTTGATACATGTAAAAAGCTAGTTAAATCTTAATATTTTATTGGATAAAAATTGAAATAAACAAAAGCTTATTGGATCACTTAATATATCACAAAACTCACCCATATAGGACTGAATGACAATTTCTATAGTTATACTAATCTGTTATAGTTATTGTGCCTTCTAGTATTTTATTTAGTATATCTTAATAATTTATTTTATGATTTAGTAATTTAACTAATACGAGTTAAAAGGTAGATTGTTACCTTCAAAAAGAAAATAAATACTATTCATTTTGTAACAAGTAAGTGACTACGAACTCTTACATGATTTCACTTAAAACAATTTATATAGTTACTTTAAGCATTAAAATTATAATGCCTTCTAATCACAAATTGTTGAATATCTTTACTACTTCATTTATCTCCATGTATATCAAGTTACTTTATGACCATAATATGTATATATTTATTGGGAAAATTTATATTTGTTTCTGTATCTGTAGTGTAAAAACAATATTATCTTTAAATGATTATTTGCTCCCATTTACAACTTATTGGTTTTAAATTTGGAAGCAAATCAACATTCACATAAGTGTTAATTGATGAACTAGAATAAACTAGTTTTTTTGCTCGCGTTACGCTACGGATTGGATAAAATATATAAAATTATTTTAAAAAATCATTTCAGTTTGATAATCTGTTTTATGGTGTAAATCTATAAAAATATAAGAACGAGAGAATTTAAAAACCAATAAGTTGTAAATGGTAAATGCTTACCGTAGTAGTAGTTGCATAGTTAATTTCTAAAAAAACAACGATTCAATATTTTTTGTATACATCATAACTATACCAAGTGAGTTCAGATTTTTCATTCTAAAAAATATTATATATATATATATATATATATATATATATATATAGAAGTTAACTTGCAATGAATTTATTGACTAAATTTGAAGTTAATAGACTAAAATAAAAATTATTACAAATTTGATTTCGATTAATTTTGATTATATAAAGAAGAAACAAATTAATAAAACATGTGAATTCTTTTTCTTTCTTTTTTCCTCATTCTTAATTTTTTTATTTATTTCTATGCTATGCATAGTTAGTTCTTGAATATAGGGATCACACGCAAAGCTATCATCTTCTTTTTATTTTTCACATTTGACTTTCAACTATTAATTAATTAATTTGAGTTTTTTTTTCTAAAAACAAACCAAGAAAAAATTATTTGAAATACACTTTTAATCAAAAAATGTATTTTAGACAAATTATATATATTAATTATGCCACTATAATTTAAAAGTTACCTAAATCTATTTTTCAAAAGACAAAATAATTATGTTCTAAAATTTTATTCAAAAATCCATACATATAGAAAAACAAATCAAAACTATCAATAAATATAATTTTAAATTAATTTGATGAGAATTTAAAAAAATGACAAATTAAAGTAGTAAATCTTAAACAATAGAAATAATTAACAAAAAACACTAAAACAAAATGGAACCAAATCACAATATAATCAAAATTTGAAATTGAAAAAAAAAGGATTTAAAAAAATGATAAATTAATGTAGTAAATTTTAAATAATATAAAAAAATTGAGAAAAAATTATTTGAAACCACTTTTAATCTAAAAATGTATTTCATATAAATTATATATATTAATCATGTCACTATAATTTAAAAATTATCTAAATCTATTTTTCAAAAGAAAAAATAATTGTATCGTAAAAATTTATTCCAAATTTCATACATATAGAAAAATAAATCAAAATTGTCAGTAAATATAATTTTAAATTAATTGGCTAAGAATTTAAAAAAATTAAAAATTAAAATAGTAAATTTTAAATAATAGAAATAATTAACAAAAAAACACTAAAACAAAATAGAATCAAAACACAATATAATTGAAGTTTGAAATTGAAAAAAACAGAGGATTTTTCTTTAAAAAATGACAAATTAAAGTAGTATATTTTAAATAATAAAAATAGTTAACAAAAAACACTAAAATAAAATGAAATCAAATCACAATACAATTAAAGTTTGAAATTGAAAAAAAATATATATAAAAAAATTGAGGACCAAAGTGTTACAAAATGACATAAATAACGAAAAGAATAATGATTTGTGAGTGTGTGAATAGTATTTCAAATAGTGAATGAATAATGAATAATGGATTTACTTTAGTTTTATTGATAATAATTTGATAATCAACTAGACAAACACCCCTAGGTGTTTCCGTGGATCTACTAAAAATCTAACTTTTATATATATATAACAAAAATTTTAAATATGAATTTAAGATCTTTCTCAGTATGTTCAAGATCCAATATATATATGGTCTATCTTGGTACACATAAGAAATAGCACATATATTTAATTCAACGAAGCAAAATATAATTATGGACTCAAAACAATATTTCTAATTAAAAAGGAGCGGATAAGAATTCTTAAAAGAAAATATTGTAATAAATTAAGTATTGAATAATTTTTTTTAAGAGAGATATAAAGAGCTTAGATGATATTAAGGAAATATGAGCAATAAATAATAATATGTATACTAGCCAACTTCTAGTATAAAAGAATTATCTTGACATTAAAGTTTTATTAGTTTTGTTATAAAAATTTGTGTTTGAGATATATGTGAAATTAATTGGATTTTTAAACAAATACCACTAATTTATCTAATCGTGATATTATCAACTCAAATGACATTTGAGTTATTATAGGAGTTTGTGTTTAAGCAAATAATGCTAAGACTAATTTTTCTAACCTTGATATTATCAACTCAAAAAAAATCCCTCGCAAATCCTACGTGGTAGCCCCATAATCATGATAAATCTCTATAAGCTCTAAAATGAAAAGATAAATCCCTAAAACCTATCAAAAAGCTTGAGATTTAAAACAAGTCACTGAATTGAAAGTTCTTCTTAATCTAACATGAAGTGTTTAGATGCCTGTTTCCAGTTCTAAAAATCCCGTTAGAAAAGAATGAAGCTTTGGCTTCTAAACTTAAAATATTATTTAATGGTAAAGTTTATTTAATGAAAGATGTTTCATCATGGAACTTAATTATGAAACCTCAAAAAAAGAAGCAAATATATATATATATATATATTATTTTTTAATCCTTATAGTTTAGCGAATTTTACTTTAATTTCTAAGCTTTTATTATGTTGACAATCCATCTAAGAGTTTCGTTTCTTAACTTTAACATGAAATACAAAGTGACTAATATTTTGACACAACGAGTTTCAAGGATCATCGATGAAACAACTTAAATATTAATATATATCCATAGTAGATTCACAAGGATTCAAATGATAGTTTATGTGTGTTTTTATTATGGAAACTAACAATTTTCATGATCAAACAACACTCTAATCATTCTTTGAAATTTAAAGAATTTCATTGAACTCCATAAAGATGAGAAACTTAGTTATCAAACTTGGTTGAACATCATTATTAGGAAGTTCTTCATCACCTCAACTTTCACGAAAATTGTATTTACTTTGTGAGTTCAAAGGTAGATTTTCTAATATAAATAGAAAGTAAATTCTTAAATTATCAATGAGATCTAGTTAATTTTTTTTTTTAAAATAAGCTTTCCTCCAATAGATGACACACTCTTGAGACGATTGTCTAGTCAAATAGTTAACAAATAAAATCGTTTGATAAACAATCATCTTTTATTGTCGTCAAATGTAATTAGAACTCATACTGAATTGAAGTTTCTTCTTAATCTAACATGAAGTGTTTAGATGCCCGTTTCCGATTCTAAAAATCCCATTAGAAAAGAATGAAGCTTTGGCTTCTAAACTTAAAATATTATTTAATGGTAAAGTTTATCCTTAAAACATTGCTATCAATTTGGATCATAAACTATTATTCTTTGGACAAATTTTAGTTTAAAAAAAAAAAAACCGATACAATCAATGCTTCAACTATCATAAACAATTAAAAAAAAAAGGGATAAAATTTGCCTAAATAATATGTTGTACTTGCGCATAACCATCCCAACAACAACCTAACTTTGCCACTAGATGTTGGAAAGCACAATTTCATGAT